GTTTTTTCAAATTTGTGAAAATAAGTTCATGGTTGGCCTGTTTAGCTCTAATATGTGATGAACTAAGAACAAATAATTTTACTGCTTAGAGTTTGAAAGTTATGTTTTGGATTTATATTGTACTAGAACAAATACAGCTCTAGTCCACAGGCCTAACAGATGGACAGGACTATTGATTGATGTTTTCTCTTGGCAGCTTGCATAGCACCTGTCAATACTATGAAAGCTGGTTCTCAGGGAGGAGACTTACAGGTTTGTTCTAGTTCAATGCATCCAAATTCTGTATCCAAAGAGCATGATGCATTCAGCAGTAGGCTCTTACCTCCAAATTCTGAAAAGCCGAAGGCAACAGCAATAGCTTATGCCTGGCACTGGGAAATTAATCTATGGTCTGTGGAGGAGGGAAAGCATTATCATTCCAAAATATGTGTGTAAATACACAGATATTTTATATATGTATTTTTAAGTAAACACAGAATAATGTTTCCCTGTGGGTCTTTCCAGCATCCATTGTGTTACATATCACCCCTTCCTCTCTCCTTTTTTAGTATCCTGCTTTCCTGTTCCCCATGTTAAGTCCCCCAGTATTTCCAATTATACCTTCATAGCATCTGCCTCCCATTATCTATCCCCTACTGTGGAGGCCCCAAATATCCCAATGGTGATACTTTTATCATTTTGGTAGCCAATAGCTGTCTAATTGTATTTAAAATATGGCTCAATAGAAGAAAATTCAGGCTTGGCAGTGTAAACCATGACAACTACTAGTGGCTAAAGGGGTTATAGACTCTAAAGGCAAGCCTATTACTGCTGCTTCCTAAATAATACAATGCCCATGAATGTCCTAAATGCTTATCCGTATCCATGAAGATTAGCTCTCATTATTCACTAAAGAAGTTTGTTTGTTCATTTTGCATCATATATAAACATTTACAGAATTCTACTATTGGTAAAATTGTAGAGAAAAACTGACTATTGTGGGATTCCTAACCACCATTTACTATTATTGCCAAACCTACACCTAAATCTCAGGGAACATTGTGGAAAAGATGAGAAAGATTAAAAATGCCAGAGGACGAGGGTGTTGGCTGTTAGACAGAGTCTCAAAAATATGACAGGATTATTCTACACATTGAATCTCAACATAAAAAAAATCTCACAAGTCCCACCCCTATATGAAGAGCTAAAGGCTAACAGTGGCTGCCAAGAGAGGAAGAATCACCAAGTCTTTTCCAAGAACTACCTCTCTGATATGTTCTAGCTTGTTACTGTTAAACATGTATGTGTGTATGTGTATATATATATATATATATATATATATATATATATATATATATCACTAATAGAGTCAATAGGCTAGACATGTACACAAACAGAAACACACACAAACAATAGGTTGTGTGTCTGTATAATAAATAATAATAATAATAACTAAAATAGAATTCATGAATTGAAAGAGAGTTGGAGAGCATGACAGTTGAAGAGAGAATGTGAAGAAGAATGTGCAATAATAAAATAAAGTACTTCTGCATGGAATTCAAAGAAAATACAAACAAATAAATAAAACCCTAAAGAAGATAATAAATATAACCCAAATAGTCTGTACATTGGAACACATACTAACTTCCTCCTTTAGCTGGAAAGAGCAGTTATTGAGGGGACATTGTGACAAATCTAGATTATTTATTTATGTATTCAAGATGGCTAAAAGAAATAGTAACCAGAAGATTATATCATAGCATATAAAGTGAAAGGTTTGTAAGGTTGCTGACACATCAGTTTATCTCTGGCTCTTAGATGCAATCCCTTTGCTTGTGGGAAATGGACACAGTTTCATATACCCACTTGATGTCCTATACATCCACAGAGGTCAGTCATTGTTTTGTAGCATGAGATCAATGTTCACATTGACATCTCCAGCATCCAGAATTAGTAAGACTCAGACAAAAGCCCTGTCTTTAAAGTCTTTAATTTTAGTTTTTGAGTTCTCCAGAGGACATAGAGTCCATACATCTAGGAGGTAAATGTCTCATGAAGTTAGAAATTTGAAGAGTTCCTGCTTTGAAGCTAGGAATAACACAATGGATTACACAGAATTTGAGCCTGATAACCAAGAAACAGAACTTTAGAGATGTTCAAAAGGGGTACAGATAATAGTCAGGATATTTGAATACAAACATTTAAAAATTTGTTAATTTTGTGGAGTTAAAATTAGATTATATTTACTTACAACACATTCTTAGTGTAATATTATAAAAGTTAAAAAGAAATAACAGATCATTCTCTATAAATACTGACTCACATCCCACACATATGTACAATGTAGTTAGCTTGAATATTTCTATCAGTAAAGCACACAAAATGCACTCAGATGTGATAGTCAGAAGCAAAGAAGGATCCTTGATTTAGACCTGTATAACTTGTGACAATTCTTGAGACATTCACCCAAGCTGTCTTAAAATATACCCTGATGACATTTGTACATTAGTTCTATTCCATGGGTACACAATTGGTGAGTATGGAAACCTCCAAGTGCTCCTGATGTTTTGGGCTAACTGTGTAAATTTAAATGTTCTGAAGAATATTTTATTTATTATGTTGCACTGGTGCCCTTGACAATTATGCTCAAAATGGTGCCCTGCTACTTGAAATACATTAAGAAGAAACATATGCTTCCATTTATCTCACAAATAGACATTACTTAAAAAGCACATTCTTATAAATAAAACATTTAAGCTTAAATTAAATGGACTGAAATTACTTGTCAAATCTTTGATAATAAAGGTTTTTGTTAAAAAGTTGGTTTCAAGAATCCGCGGTGGGAAAAAGGGCATGAAAATTTCCATAAAGGAGGTTAGTGACTAGAAGGATTTCTTGGTGTATAGGTGAAAGAAATGGATGGCCAAGCCAGGGCCCTAACAGGCTCCCTAAGCAGCCCTGGCATGGACCAGGCCATAGTTTCGGGTTCACTCAAATGGGGTGGAGCTGACCTAGCAATTCTCAGGAAAACCATAACTTAGGGACAACCAATAAACAGGTGCCCCCAGCCTCCTGCCGGCTCAGCAGGTGTCCCCAAGCGCCTTCTGCTGGCTCAGCAGATGTCTCCCAGACTTCTGCTAGCTAAAGAAAGCTTTCCCTACCCTCTAGTCAACAAGCCCCTAGACACTAGACCCCACCACCACCACCACCAATGGGCCCCTAACTACTACAGCCTCCCACCAATCAACTTCCAGACTAATCTTTCTTCCACTAATCAGCACCAGATTAATTCCTCATCTCTGGAATCCCCCTAACTCTGCTTAAACGGAGCTTGCAACCCCCTTCGGGGTTGCTATTTGCCACCCCAACTGCTGGAAACAATAAATGCTCTTGCTAAGTTGCATGCGGGACTATTGGTCTTTCTTGAAGGCTTCTCTTGGACCCTAACAATAGGACCTTATATTTTGATCTCAGATTGGTTCAATTCTTTATCAGGTTGTGGAGATGAGTTCCCTCATTACTGGTTAAAGGAGAGGTCTTAATCACTGTTCTATTGCTCTGAAGAGACACCATGGCCAAGGCAACTGTCATAAAGGAAAACACTTAATTGGGGGCTTGCTTACAGTTTCAGAGGGTCACTCCATTATCACGGATGGGAGCATGGTGGCATGTAGTCAGGCATGATCTTGTAGCTGGGAAATTTATGTCCTGATCTTTTAGTATATATAGAGAGACTGGGCTGGCTTGAGCTTTTGAAACTTCAAAGCCCACCACCAGTGACTCATTTCCTTCAACAGGGCCATATCTCACAATTCTTTGAAACAATTCCACTCACTGGTGACTAAATATTCAAATGCATGAGCCTAGGTGGGCCATTCTCTTTCAAACCACTACAGAAGTCTATCCAAATTCTCCCGTTATGTGACTGTATTCCCCCTAGTCATGTTGTTTGTGGGACATTACATCTACTGGTGATGAGCATGGGAGTATATTGCAAACTACCAACAGGAATTAGAGCTAATACAAAGAAGGAATATAGAATTTAAACAGAATATAGACTATAAAGAGCAAAAAGAACAACAACAACAAAAAGTCTTCTGTTATATAACATGCTACTCTGAAGGGCCATTTTATCAGATAAATTTCTGCTTAAATATAAGCTAAAACTTTAAATGGCATATTAGAGTTGAGTTTTTTTCTATTTGCCTCATTTTTTTTTTCTATAAAGAGCCTATGATTTGATCCCATCCTGCTCCAACATTTATAAACATCAAGTTAACTTTCCTTCAAATATTTGGAATAATTTTTCCTGAGGAACACTCAACACTATTATTAAAATTTTCAATACTAATGGTCTCAAGTTGTTCTCTGTCCCATTGCTTATAGACATGCCATCCTTTATTTATGCAGCTGGCATGATGACCCACTACCAGTAGGATATTGCATCAATTAATGGCACATAATTGAGAAATAACAGATTGGGGTGAGGGGTGCAGTCTGTTAGTACAGAACAGAGTTTTCCCTTTAAAAAGTATACTGGCCTGGATGGAAATTAAATGTGTGACCTTGGCTTTATTACCACCAGGCTCTAATTGAGGTAACCATCTTTATCACACCGTGCCATCTAAATAACTAATATTCTTGTCATTATCACCCCATGATATCTATTAATATTATAAACCTCTAAGTTTCATTATTTAAATAATACTTTTACTGGACAGTATTTCTGATGATAATTTTTATCATTCTACATTACAAATTTATTATTATCCGACTCTTAAATATTTTGAAATTCCAATTATTAAATGTAATTACAAAAATTGTCGCTTCAAAAAAGTCACTGGCTTGTTTAAAGAATGGTTGCTTTAAATGATTCTAAATTCTATTGTATAACTGGTTACACACAAAGCTTTCTTGTTAGTATAATAATAGCAATCACAAACCTTATGAAGAACTGACATTCTGTTCTTCTCACTGACATTTGAGAATAAGTGGATGAGTGAGATATAGGTCCTACTTACCCTTCCACATGGCAATGGTCTTGCTGAAATGTTCTATTTTCTCATTATGCAGGCTGATGTAAAAATGGGAAGCTGTGATTCCTCACTCAAACTGATGGAGAAGAAGGAAGGAGACATCAGGGAAGGGATCTCTTCACAAGAAATCCTTGCAGAGAAAGCTCTCCAAGCACCATCCTCCCCTTTTCCCAGCAGACACACTGCAGGTTTGAGTAGCACTATGCCAATCACCTCACAAGATGAAGAAGGAAAGCCTTTTTTATCATCTGGATGTCTTGAGTCAAATATTACTGTCCTCAAGGGTAGGGGAAGAATCAGAGCTCAAGGAAGTCAGCTAAAACTCTCCATGCTTCCCAGGAAAGAACGGTAAATACCCAGCACAGAAGTGTATTTTCTGACTTCAAAACATATAGTCTTCCACTCTAAGATTGTCTGAAAACAGCTTATTTTATATAAAATATTAGCAGCTGAGTGCCAGCAAATGTAAAAACATCTTTCTCCATATTAAATGATTTCATATTTTAGAGATAATAAGATGCCAACAAGCTTAATTATATAAAATTTGCAACTTTTGTCCCGATCTACACGACACATTTCACACTTTTTCATTTCTATAAATATTAGAGATCCACAGTCAAGTCTGGGAAGCTCACATCAGTGATAATTATTTCTCCTACTACTCAGGTTTTCTCTAAATACATATTCCACATATATGCTATAAATATTCATGTGTTCAGATGTCCACTTATGTTATTTGATCTATCTATCATATTTACATGTCTATTCTGTCTGTCTATCATCATCTATGTATCATTCATCTTCCTATCTTTTTCGTTAGTTTTAAAAGAAAACTTCAATATGAGTTCTGTGAATTATCAGTATTCTTTTTACTGGTAAATGGAACAGTCTAGAATTGCAGTATAACTTTAGTCTAAAGAACTACTCTATAAGTAATCTTGACTTTGGCTTCCAAATTGAAATTGTGGATTTTTTTTAAGTTCAATATGGTCAGGTGGCTTAAGTTTCATACCCAAAAAATGAATCAGACAATCTGCTATTTTGTATTTGAAAACAAGGCTTATTTTCTACCATCCCTTTCTTTGTCAACAGATTTTGCTATCTAAAATGTCTTTCACATTTTTGTGACATCAGGAACCTTTAATTTTTATTAACATCTCAAAATTTAATACATTCTGAAAAGATTTAACTTCCTTTGCACTCTGTACCCCTATTATATGCAGCAGTATTATATAAAGCAATATTCTATTTCCATTGCTTCTACTTATTAAATATGAAGTTAATATAAGTATATATTTCTCTATTTTTACTATCTCACATATTGATTCCAGAATATTTTCTGACCTAGAAAAACATTCAGGTATTTGTAAAATGAAATACCATCATGAATGCTTTCAGATCCTTCATTCAATTAGATGTGATTGAGCTACTTTAGTAAACATAAAGTTTATAAAATGTTAAAGGCAAAAGACACATGATTTTTGTACTATAAGGTTCACACCAATATAAAGTATCAAAACAATCAATAAATTATCTCTGCTCTTTTGTATTTCTCTGTGTCAGTGACACACATATAATTTAAGTGTTCTAAGGGAAGTTTCTGTTTATAAGTAATGTATTCTCTTTTCCAACAATAGTCAAATATTTAGCCAATAGTGTCCCTTTTCCTATGTCAGATTCATGTTCTCCATCTGTATTGTCTCATGACTCACCATTTTTTTTCAAATAAGCCTTCCTTAACCATCTACAGAAAATACACATTTGAATCATGTAGATGCTTTTCCTGCTCTTAGGTTGGAGCTAGCCGTTCTCAGCAGTGCCATTTCCTATTTCAGTGTTTTACTTTTATAGTGCATAACCATTCATTATGCTTCTCTCTGGGTTTTAATACTCTTATGTACTAATCAGTTCTAACTCGGCCTTTATCTAAATACCAAAATTGCTTCCTATTGTTTTTATTCTTTAAATACTTTAATCTGTTACAGTATGCTTTATTTAAATGGAGGCTATTGGCCAGAACCTCGCCACAATTAATGACCCAAATGATAATGTGATGAGGAAAAAGGACTTAGTTTGGCATTGCTAGCTCAAATGTTCATACGACTTCCATGATGAACAAACAAAATAATTGTGCTTTGTATTCCTTGACTATCAGCACTTTTCCTATCACAAGGTGCTGAACCTCTGTTTCATATGAATGCATCCCAGCACAAGTGCTTGACCAGTTTTGCATTCTGCAACAAGTTCTTTAAAGAAAATATAAGAAAACCCAATGACATGTGTGTCCATCACTCAGTCTAGTCATGTTACCCTCATAATGTCATCAACTACTCTGTGAAGTGAAGCTGGCTCAAAATATGGGTTATGGTTCATAATTTTAAAAAATCATACAATAATTCAGTGAGATTTTCTTCTAATTATGATGTCTGAATATGTTTGGTAGTTTTATGTGAACTTCACACAAAATAAAGTCATTTTAGAGGAAGGAACCTCAATTAAGAAAATGCCTCTATAAGATCAGGCTATAGATAAGCCTGTAGGTCATTTTCTTAATTAGTGATTGATGGGAAATGGCCCAATCCACTGTATTTGGTGCTATACCTGGGCTGGTTGTACTGGGTTCTACAAGAAAGCAAGCTGAGCAAGTCACGACAAGAAAGCCAGTAAGCCATGGCCTCTGCATCAGCTTTTGACTTAAAGTTCTTGCCTTGTGTGAGTTCCTGCCCTCACTGCTATGGATGATGAACTGTTACATGGAACTGTGAGTAAAATAAACACTTTCCTCCCTACCTTGCTTTTAGTCATGATGGTTCATCAGAGTGATTGTAACCCTTACTAAGATATGTAAGTTGCACTATTCCCATGACACAGACGTGTCTTAGAAGCAACTCCTTGATGAAAACTTACTGCACATTGAATTCTATTCTGGTCCACAACATAACCATGGATAGATTATCTGTCATTACATGTTACTCTGGGGTATATAGTGGGGTTGCATTTTGTAAAATTGTCTAAAATACAGCATCTCCTCAATATGTAGCAAGAAAAAGCTTTTTGTATGAATTAAACTTGGGAGATGCATGATTCCCAATTCATGCAAGATAAGATTCTGGGATAGAATATTAGCCTTGCATTCATGAAATACAAAACAACATCTTTTTGTTCTTATTTAAAAAGAAAGGTTCTTATGTAACTCTAATATACATTCTAGTAATTTCCCATAACTAATTGTCTCAAATACTATAACACAGTGTATACTGTTTTATAAGATTGTTAAGCCTCCAATCTCTTTAATAAGTTATAAATATAGACAGCGACAGCATTCTATTTGTAAATAATAACTTCCCATCACATAATACTGAAATTATAAACAAATTTTTAAAACACCACTCTTTTGTTCATATGTAACTTCTGAGCCATGAATAAAGAAGGCCCAGACTTTCGCATCTCCAAAAAGAAAAAAGAAAGGACAAAGCTTTTGCTTCTCTTTTGCTCTGCCAGCATGTACTTTACCCCAAGTCTGCTCTCAACTTCTCGACATTTCTTCTCACAAGACTTTTAGAAGCCGGAGTTCTGGGGACTGCTTTACCTTCTTTTAAATCAAATCCAAGCACAATGATTACAAGACAGAGGGAGGAATCCGGGTCACATCTCCAGCTGTTCTGCTAGGGAAACAGCTCTCTACCTCTGTGCCTTAACCTCCTTCCCAGAGGGCCAAAGGGAACTCCACACAGCTCTACTGGTTCCCTCACTGTCCCCTCAGAGAGGGCACAACCCTTGTCCTCCGTTTTTATCTGGTCACATACCCAGGGAAAACCATAGGGTTTAGTCACCCCAATACCATTGGCTTACCAGACTGAATTCCCATAACAACTTTCAGAATCAAGATGTTCCTGATTAAGAAACAGAAGCAAGATCTACATGAATAGCCTGGTCATGAGTGGGAACAATGAAGGGCGACAGTCGAGGGAAAGAGTGGGAGATCCTAGCTGGATCAAGAAAAGAGAGGGAGAACAAGGAATAGGAGACCATGGTAAATGAAGACCACATGAGAAGGTGAGAAGGGGAGGAAGCAGAGAGCTAG